AATCTTCTGACCTAGTTTATTAGCAAACAGGTCATGTTTTGGCGTTTTCTCGGTCTCGACTGCTTTGGAGATGCTTTCGAGCGTCTTCTTTAATATATGAAATCAGTATATCTCATTTCGTACGCGAACGTGGTCAGCATATTTGATACGTCGAGACATAAATTCAATCGATAATTTTCATACATTTCGTCATTCATCCATTCATACATTTCGTCATTCATGCATTTATGCATTTCGTCATTCATACATTCAAAGACAATGAAATAAATTCAAAATTAATAATCTCGAAATAAACAGTTTCAAACTTAGAAAGTAAAATAGTAATAAGTTAAAAGTAAAAGAATAAAATAAGCGAAGAAGGAAAGAGTATCACAATAAAGCGGCAAAAGGATAAAAAGATATGAAAAATATGTTAGAGTGAAAAACGTGCATATACAATTGACAAACTATTTGCCAATGGTGGAATATTATAAATAAGTCAATTAGAAAAGTTCGGATTGAAAGAAATTACTTATTTTTAAAATGTTTAAATAAAAAAATTTGAAATTAAAATACAAATAATACAAATTTTCATTGCAGTAACAAAATATGAGATGTTTAAATGAGTAATGCGAAGCAATCTTTACGCGACAATTTTAATTTTTGCATAAATATCAAAATATTTATGTATAATTGAATTGTTATAATAATAACATTCATGATAACATTCATGGTTAAATCATAATAAGAATGACTATGAAAAGTAACTGAATGAAAGATTAGCACAGCACAATTTATGAGATATAAGCAAATGTGTAAACAATTTAATTAAGTTAAGGAATTTGAGTTAATCAATCCCCGGAACTCCTAATTCCAACGGTAATAAATTTCCAGGTGAGTGGAAAAGAAGCATCAATGAGTAAAACGATACCAAATAAAGCATTAAATAGTAAATTTCATTCTTATTCAAGAGGTTTTTACTGACAATTAATTAAAATTAGCATCGAAAAGTATATGTTATAAAATATGTTTGTTTTTCTTTTTACTCAAAGAAACTTATCAATCAATCAATCAATCAATCTCGAGAATAGTACAGATAAATACAATTGTAGAATCATAAATACGTATGCATATTCATTTGCACAGCTGGTAATTATGAATGCTGAAGGTCCTTCGTCATCGCTCAACGAAACCTAACTCAGTAAAACTCGAAATTTATACTTGTGTTTTGGATTTTGGATAAATTATAGACAAAGATTTTTATGGGAGTATTTTCCTGTAGCCAAATAAAGCTATCCATTAGTGGACAAACTTGACCTCTTGCTTTTACTCACTCAATAATGCAAATAACTGTTATAAAGTCAGTACTTGACTGTTTAACTCAGAACGTCTCCATTAGACAGTGGAATGAGATAGTGGCCGGACGGTGTCTAGCAAGCAATCAAAATGATTCAAAACGGATTGAACGTTAAGATAGAGAAAAAAAGGCTGCAATGAGGGGTGAACAAGACAGATTTTTTTCTTATCCAAACCATATGTGTATGCAAAGACAGTCAGCCAATTGTAAGCTGACTGCAGCCTACAAATGAGGAAAGAATTGAGGTCAAAGGTAAAAGTAGCAGAGGAATGCGAAAGTAATCCTACCAGGCCAATTCTGCTTGCTCTGCTGCCTTCCTCTCTCCTCAACTCTTTCTTTACTGTGCCTTGTAAGAACATTTTGTGAACAGACGGTGGGCTGGGGAGGATGCAATCGAAAATGACGTAATAAACTGTTTGAATTACTCAACGGATTGATTTCAGCGATAGACAAATCTGTTCGAATTGCTTACCGAATCACTTCAATTTCATAAACTACTTTTAATTCGCAAAGAAATTAATTTGAGTTGGTAATCTACTTGAACTGATAGATTGTTTGTATTGACTTGTTGAGCTAATCAGTTTTGTATCTATTACCAGATGATCTTAATTACATAAGCAGTTTATTCGTGAAGGTAATTTTGATTTAGTTAATAGATCAATTTGAATTGGTAATCAGCAACAATCGACAAATCAATTATTTATCGAATAATTTGAAGCAGTAAACAAATGAACTTTTTGAAATGATATAAAATGACTTCAGAGTATTATTATATTAAGCAATTTATAGTGCTTAATCATAACTTTTAATATGTTCCATATTTCAAAGTAATTTGATCTGCTTAGATTTGATTGCTAAAAAATGAAACAAAATGAACTGAATTTTACCACTGAAAGTTAGTGTTTAGTAATTTTAATAACAGTACTGCGGAGAAATTCACATACTGTATAGTGTAAGGGTCAAGTATTATCATGCATATATTTTTTGAGATTATTACAAACCAGTTATTAATGAAATAAGTTGAAATCTGTATAAGTATGTGAATTCGAATAAAGAATCACTTGTTGCTTATACAAATTACCTTCATAATTAATCCAAACGCAAATTATGTATTTAATTACAAACGCATATTGATTGGATGAGCGAATGTTAATTTCTAGTACAAAGTATGGGCATGGGCAAAAAACAGTATTTATGAATCCATTGAATCATAAAATTCTTCATTAGTCGATTTGAGTAGCCTGCGCTCTGGCGGGTACCGGTAGTGTGCTTCATTTTGGTAGTGTCTTTTTAATTCATTAAACTGGTAAGTTGATTACATCGCAGTAATGCATAAGTATATATGGCAGAAAGTAGCAATAAAGTTTGAGAGCTGCTAAAGTCATCTGCTTCTTAATGACAATAAATTGAAGTAATTTGTCAAGCATTTATTTGCTTCAAACGATGACGTAATGAAGAATACATTAAGGGGATAAATAGCAAAAAACGGTTTGCCCTCCTCATAAATTTGAATTTTTTCAATGAAAATTTTCGAATTTTTAATTTCAAAATGCATATGAGATGCAAACTGTTTCATAGCGTCTTTGTCGCCTTGTTGATCATTGCAAAGTTAGTCGCCATGGTAAAGAGATCGTAAAAAGCCTGTTTGTAGTATTTCTTTTTTGTGAAGGTATTTATTAGGAGTTGAAAGTTACGTTGGATTTGAAGACGTGAAGGAAACAAGTGATGAAAGATGTAGTGTATGATATTGTGATTCGGTACTCACGAAAAAAGAATTTTTTCGATTACAAGTTTTCAGGTTGATTCAGAAATTGAGCAGTACTCAATGCCTCCGACTGGCTCACTGAACTTGCCACTTCAAGTAGGTGGTAGTGCTACTGTAAATGGTGCAGGTACCAACGATGATGAAAGAATTTGGTCTTTATTTCTTTTTTCAAAAGTAGTACTAGTTTGTGCAAAAATTTGTTATCTATTTCAAGAAACTGATCATTAAGGATATGCAATGCATAGGAAAGATTTTCAAAAATAGAAAAAGATTTTTTGATTTTCTAGGAAACAGATATCTGAGCAGAACAATTACTTGACAGTTAGATACTAGTGACCTTTACATTTTTAAATATGTTTCAGAAGTATTCCTGCAAGTGGTATTTCATTAATACATGGAGTGATTAGGATTAAATTTTTTATAAGTAGTCGTTTCATTTTTTGAAAATTTGAGGCATCTCTTTTTTACATTTTGAATATGCAAAATGCTTATTCATTTGAGGACTCATATATTATCTGAAGTTATTGCTAACAGTATTAGTATTAGCAGCGGTGCACCAGGAACTATCCTATTCTTAGGTAAGTTGTGTTTTCTCACACTTATAATGTGTTTGATTTTGAAAGAGTTTTTCGAAAGTGAAGTTTGAATAATAAGAAATATAGCAAGATCTGTTTTCATTTCATGAAATGAAACTTAATTATCATATTTATTCAAACAGGGAACCGACAAAGTGGCAAGACTTGGTTGTTAAATAGGTTGGAGAAGAAAGAAACACCTGGTCGTAGTTCTGCACTGGAATATCACTTTTTGAATGTACATACAGACTACAGAGATGTTTGCTATGCGTATCAATTAGCATCTGCAGGTACTTTCAACAAATGTATTTATGACATCAATTGTACCATATTTCCTAAAATGAACGATGACTGTGTCTAATTTTGAAGTGTCTCATTTATATCTTATGGAGTACGTTAAGTGCATCAAATACCATTGTCTGTACTGAAATAAATACAGACTCATATTAATCAAGGTCTCTAAGTAATCTTTGTAAATTATGTCTGTTAGTGTGAATTAGTAAAATACGATTGTAGGCGCAGGTGTTGCGCCAGGAGAAAGTGTAACTTTACCGGTTTGGGTTTTGGATGGTGATGAGGCGTTCGCGCCTTTGGTAAAATATGCGTTGACAGCGCCGTTGTGCAAAAGTGTTGTGATACTATGTGCATCAATGCAAGAACCTGGAATAATATTATCGTCTCTCAACAAATGGGCGAAAATAATCGGTCATCAGATCGAAAATTTATTTGATCCAGTAGCTCTGGCGGATGCACGCAAATCACGTGAGACCTTATTAAGATGTTATATCTCTTCCCCTTGACTAACTTGCATCAACAAATTCATATAGGTGAACATAACTGATTAAATTGCTACCACAGTTGTATTGTTATACTTCTGAAAAAGTTCGATTTTCAGAAGAACTATTCTGGCAAGAATATGTTGAACCACTTGATAGCTCAATGCAAAGTGACAAAATACCATCTATGGAAACAGAACACGTATGTTGATAGTTCATCGTATGTACTTAAATTAGATATCAGTAGCATATATTTTTTAATGTAATTAATATTTACAGTATCTGTAATACGTAGTAATAAATAAGACGGAGTTCTGTTTACTTAATTTCTTTATAATTTTTTTAAATTGAAAGGTACTACTACCACTTGACCAAAATGTTTTAACACGAAATACTGGTGCTGCTTTGGTAGTTGTATTAACGAAATGTGACACAGCACTTGCTGAAATGTCTGACGAGCAACTTGATCGCTTACAATATCATATTCGCAAATTTTGTATGGCTCATGGAGCAACATTAGTAAGTTTACTGGAGTATAATCAATTGTCAGACTATCTTGCACTGCATTTATATACTTAATTATCACAAATAAATGTATACTTTCCATATAATTTGAATTATCTGCAGTTAATGTACTCTAGGGTTTATTCATTCTGGTCTTCATACATTTATACATATTATCAGATATACACATCTGCCAAAGAAGAAAAAAATACAACTTTGCTCTATAAATATATCGTCCATCGGGTATGTGGAATGCCATTCACAACACCAGCTCAAGTTGTTGAGAAGGACTCCATATTTGTTCCAGCAGGTTGGGACAATGAGAAGAAGCTGGAAATTATTAAGGAAACGATTCCCGACGTTGAACATCCGTTAGAGGTGAGTTTTTTCAGAATCTTCTTAGCAAGCCCGTTGAAGATATTTTGCGTCTCAGAATAATTAAGATCTAAAATTCGTGAAATGTATTAATTTCTTTTTGCCTATAGAGTTTTGGTGCATTTATTATTTAATTTCAATATCATATAGTGCATTTCGATCAGCAAGTTTTAATTTTTACATTTATTACACTCCCAATTCTTCAGACTGTTCACTGCAGGTGACACGTGAAAAACAGTCTGTGCGTGATCATGTCGTGGAAGCAGAAGATGATCAAGCATTTCTGAATAAACTTTCAAATATGGAAATTGCGTCACCAAAACGAGCTGCTGCACAAAAGCAATCGAGTGAGGGTACTGATGGCAATTCTCCGCTAGTTTCTTTTTTCAATAATCTTCTGAAGACCAAAGAGGGCCAGGTTAGTAGTGCTGTCTTTTGAATCTAGATAACACAGTTCTTTTGGCTTTACATGATTTGAGAATGAAATGAGAAGGAAAACAATTTAATTCCGCAGGTGGCACAAGCGAATCGGGTAGTTACTGACCCTCAGGCACATCTACAAAGAATGCTGGAGCAAGTAAATAACTCGTCAATGACTTTGAGATCGAAATCTGGATGTGAACAAACAGCAGTCTCTGGGACGAACTCAACTTAGTAATTGCAGTACTCGAATTTGCGTTCTCACCGTCCTTTCCCAGCGATAAAATGTTTTTTCCTCGGGTTCCCTATACAGTAAAATTTTAAATAAGCTAATGGATTATTGAGATCGTGTATCACATCTGTATGAGTGTTAGTGTATAAAACAGTTTGCTTCGCGTCTTGTCATTTTATTTCGTAATTCTGTACAGTGGACAAATAAATATTCATAATAAACGAAATAAAAAGAGCACACTGAGGTGAGATAAAACAATATATAAATAAAACATTCTTTTTAATTTTAAACTGGTGAGTAGGGTCAAGTATACTTTATATTTGTTTAACACTACTTCCTTCTTGAGTTGCTAACAGTCGAAGATTATTAGCGGAACTTAATAGAAATCTTCAGCAAAATATTGCGATTTTCAGTTGTCCTCTTTACAAATTTTACTAATTATTAACATCAGTTTGCTTAGTCTAATCTCCTCCCAAATAAGATGAGACAAAAAAAATTACATTATACTACAGAACTATAATTAATGATGGGATAAAACAATATATGGATAAAACATTTTTTTTATAATACTTCATACCCTAAACAGCCTTTCGCAAATGGCTGAAAAATTTCCAAGTCCTCTTGATAATCACTGTCAGGTTTGTAAAGTTGAGTGAATATGGAAGATTTATACGGCACTAAGTCGAAACATGGATGTATCACATGCTTTTTAGCCTTGCTGAAATTGGCTTCTTTATAGTATCGTGCTGCAGAAAAACTGCAAATGAACTCTTAAATACTGAAGAAAGTCTATTCATCGCACTCACATTTCCCGGAGAACGTCCATCACCGACCTTCCATCTTCAAGAAAAATCGAAACTTTATATGGCATCCGTTTTGATCGATGACGGTCAATACAAATCTTGCTATCGTTTTGTAAGATATTTCGTAAGATTTCGGTTTCAGATTGATGCGGGTAGTATGTCATGGATGTCGGCAATCGACACAGATACATCTAAAGTGCTATGAGCAATTAGTAACATTTCACAATAAAATAAGTATCCGAATCTAACAATTGTTGTGCATTTCTACATGACACTACTGTGAATAGTGTGTTTCGAATCCAGAGGATGATATCAGGATAGTATATGCACCTGACACCGAAGAAGATTCGACGATTGCGCCACTTGGAACAACATGCTCTACCTCCATAAATACGCATACACTTCTGATAATTGGCATTAACTATCAGAGCGCCAAGAATAGAGGACAAACCAGAACTTCTCAGACCAAGAAATTACTTCAAACTCTTTGCCCACTGAGCTACAGTGACAGTGTTAACATGGAGCTGTATTAGTAGTGTTTGATTCCGATGATGTTACTTGTTTAAAGATACTTGGTCATAGACCCTTAGTGAATGACGCTAATGAAGCAACTTTGCAGAAATGGTAACTTACGAGTGGTGCTTCCGAGAATTCAATACTTAGACAACGTAAACTGCAAGAAAGACAATCAGATTTCCATAAACATTTCTTCCATCCATGATCTGCACTACGTACCCACAATTTCTCCTTTGTAACTTTCGCAACGATAACACGCACAGGAGCAAGCATTGAGCAGGTCGAAAAATAAGCACATGCTACTCCTTGCGCCAACCATTCCTCAGAGACGATTTTCAATTCAGACCACTAGAACAATTAATCAGTTATGATAAATGCAGGCTCCCAAAAATTCTTAAGGAAATCAAACATATATGAAACAAACAACGATGGATCTGGAAATATGATAAGATCTAGACATCTTCTAAAACTCAGGCACGACAAAATTTGAATCAAGCGGTAAAGCCTGATTTCAATTAGTCTGTATAAATTTTTTTTAAACATCAAGTAGGATCGCTCAGATGACACGAAATGTAAACTGACATATGTTATAAGGCTACTTATGAAAAAAAACGAATTATTCAGAAGTCATTTATCTGCACCTTTATTAGTAACTTTTTTTCTAATTCTTTGATTGCTTTCTTGTGATAACTGCTATGTAAATAAATGAATCGAATATTTTCGACATGAGAAATATACAATGATTCACTTGAAACTGGTTTCTGTAACCTGAAAATTACTGCTTGTTGATATTTTCTTGAAATTTTGCTTTCTGCAGCGAACTTCTGATCTAAAAGAGCAGAAGACAATCTCAAATACAAAAAAAAAAAAAA